AGTAATCGTACTTACGCAAAGTTATTCTTCAACTGATATCTTCACGAGAGAACGCCGATAATGTTGACAAAGCAAAATGATCCGTTTACTGAATAATGTGGTCCCTTTATATCCTTGGCAACGTCGCTTCGATAACTCCCTCTTTTTTTGTATTCGAGAGAAACAGTTATCTCAAGTTATGACGCTTTTGGATAAAGACAAAATAGATTGGCTGGGTCGCTTCGGGTCGAATCTTTACCCCAGATAGAAAAGTTTATCACGACTTGTGATGCGATCACGCGCTTATATACTCGATTATATTCTTGAGACACAATTGATGGACAAATTGGAGGAAGAAATACGCATAGAGAGGGAGATATGATTCGTAGAACGTAATTGCGTAAACAAAGGTTTCGAGTTTAATTGTATATTAATTGTAAATGAATATACCAATGTGTAATTCATGATTAAGAGATTTTTAATATGCAGATAAACATTTTTTTCTTTAGCTGACATGGCTTCTATTTTTCAATAAAATTAGTTAATAATATCGTTTCATACAAAGCGCAAATTATAAGTACAAAATATATTTTTTATTTTATTTTAAAAGAAATTATTTTAATTATTTTATTTTAATAAGTTTGACAGCAGTTCTTTACATTTTTGAAATTCGTCTGATCAAGATGTAATAAATATCACGAAATAAATAAAACTACCCCCAACATAATCGATATTTTTTGTAAGTCTTTATCTTTATTTTTTTTAAGGATATTGAAATATGATGCCAAAGATTATAATAATATCTTAATATTGCATGATTATAGATGAGAATTGGAGCAATTGAGGAAAAAAACGATGAAATATATTGTTTGCTTTGGTGATACACGTAATTGTAAAATCCCAGGTTTTTTTAATCGGTATTTCCTAGCAAATCTACATTCCTGTGTAGCAAACCTATATTCTAAGAAATAATCGCAAAAACGTCATTCAATCTATACTAAGAAAAATATTCAATGTAAACTAAGAAAAATATTTCTTATGCTGATGCGACTAATTATTCTAAACTCGAAGTATTCCGTTCCATCTTACGCTGCGTTTAAGAGCGTGACACATATCAACAATGATGCCAACGATCTTCTTGACACTCGATCTTGCAAGTTGTTTTCATTCACGGTGCAAAGTCTTCTTATGCTTTATAGGAAAACACGCGCTCTTTCGCAAGTTGATAGCTTCAAAATAAAAATGTTACACATTATTGATTTCACATTGGAATTAAACGATGTATATATAATATTATATGTAATATAATTGTAATATAATTGTGTATATATATATATATATATATATATATAATATTTATTTATATTATATAATTTGATATTACACATGTATATACATATACATATATATATATATATATATATATATATATATATCAATTCTTTAAAAATTATAATCTGATTCATTATTTTTATAAAATGTGTTATCTTTACATATATTATTAGAAATATTTATCAAAAGATTATATTTTCATATTTACAATTCTGACATATTTTTTGAAAATTATTGTATTTTTTCGAAGCTTTAAAGAAACTATTTTTGTAAATTAAACAAAATTATTTTGTGTACAATTGTAAACCTTCTGAAATTGAAAATTAATATTAATTAGCTAATGAATTTGTCATTAAAAGCACAGCGTTTTGAACGATATTTTTTTTCATAGATAGTAAATAACGAAGTGCAGAATTGATGTTGAAAATAAATTGTGCGTTATCGAAGTTCTGCGGATCAATTATAAATTGTGCGATGCGTGATACATATTATCATTTGATATATTACATTTGACATATTACATTCATAATTGCCGCTAGAATTAATTCCTACTTAAATTTTTATTTTACGCATGAAAGAATTTGCTTGTATTTTCTTCATACGGATTATCACTGATTACTGAATAATAATGATTTGCATTTAAGCAAAATAAATGTTTTCTGAACAACAATCTTGTTAGCAGATATGTTTTAATCTCGCGTTTGTAATATTTGCTATTAAAGTTATGTTAATAAATTCAAAGCAAATTAAAAATATAACTTTGTGATTAACACAAAGCTAACAAGTTTGATTTTTCTGCAACTGGCGAAAAAAAGATCCCAGGTAGCAAGATGACGTCTAAAGACGTCTTAAAGACGTCTATGACGTCTATGACGTCTATGACGTCTTTAAGACGTCTTTAGACGTCTTTAAGACGTCTTTAGATGTCATCTTGCTATCTGGGATATTGTATACGTTAACATTAATTAGCATACTATAATATACATACATTTCCTGACTTATAAATAATTCATCTAGTATAAAGTAATGTTCTTAATTATTTCATCAGACACACACGTAACTAATTTGAACGATTTTGTACGAAGAAAAAGTTCATAATTTTTGTGTCCTTTTTTTAATTGTAATTATAATAGCGCAGTGCAAATCATCATTCTGTAATCATCTTCATGGTCGATTTTTAAACCGATTAAAACCGAAGGTCATATGTGAGTAGACTTAAATGATATGTTGAAATTGCTATTCTACGTTTCGTAAACGTCATATATTTTATCATTGCCAGTATAGTTGCAGTGCCAGTTGTTCGCAAATATTTACATATATTATATACATATTTGCAATGTATATTATGTATAATTATATATTTTTATATTACATATACATTAATATTATGTACAGTAATATTATGTTTTTTTTGCCGATTTTGTATTGTGATTAAAAATATTAAAAATATTTATATAAACATTAAAACATATTTTTGTAAAAGAACTTTTACAATTATTAACAGATGTTTATTCATAAGAGCATTCTAAAATAAATAAATCTAAAATAAATTATTATATTTAAAAAAGAGGATATAAGATTTCATAATATATATATATATATATATATATATATATATATATATATATATATATAAGATATTCGATAAACTATATTTTATTTATATTAACAATAAACATGTATCCAAAATATTTGTTTATGTTACCTAAAATATTTGATTAATGTACAGTTATAATTATGTTCTTTTTCAAAAAGCCTTCTTTCTCGATTTTTGAATTTACGATGATTTGTTACATCTTATTCATGATATGTTATTGTAGCTTATCTTCTGAATAGCTTGTGTTATATTCAATAAAGATTATGATATTTGTACACAAAGGTAAGGTGGATTCTCATATATTTGAAAAACTATCTCTAAACTATTTTAAAAATTATCTCAAAACTATGAGTAATAACTTTATATGCAAATGAATTTGGAATTTTATGTTAAATTATATTAAATTGTATATTAAAACAATATACGTATTACATAAGTGCGCTATTTAATCAACAATACATTTTGATCATTTTTCATTCAGTTTTTTTGCTCATTTATTTGACAAACTGTCTAGCTATGCTATTTTTTAGAAGCAATAGGTCATTTTTCATTTAGTTCATCCATTGATCATTTTTTACTTATTGTCAAATCATTCAGTTGCCAATCATTTACTCATTATCAATCATTCATTTTTGACAGGTTTCCACGCGGTAATATTCCGTTACTTTTATGATTACATATGTATTATTATCTTATACATATTATTATTGTAGGTTGTTAAATAGGTTCAGTGTTGTTTAAATAAGTTAGTTAGGTTGGTAGTTGAACGCAAAATAGTTACACACAAGTTGCATACGGTTTAGTATTCTGTATCTATAATTAATATAATTGCAGACGACTGAAAATATATAGCGAGGAAGATAATCAATAAATTTGAAAATTACGCGGTTATCATCATTTTATTTATCGAGTTTTGAGAGTGCGGAGCATCAATGATGTATAATGTGATATTTATTTCAGTATTATTGCTGTGATGGTACTCGAGAAAAGTGAATTTAGGAGGAAAGAAGAATTCAACGGTGTAATGATTTTGAGCATGAGAAAGACGTCAATAAAAGTCGAATGTATGTAAGACACAAGCATCCACTAGATACTTTATTTCTCTTATTTGTGCTTTATTATAATCATTACGCATCTCATATGTTATTATAATATTTAAAAATAATCAACATTACGTACTTAATGTATAAGTTTAATAAATATTTTGGAATATATTAATAAAAAGAAAAAAGAAAAGGTTTTGATATTTTGGAATATATTAATAAAAAGGGGAAAAAAGAGAGATTTTTCTTCTTGCGTTCTAATTATCACGTCTTACCTCTTATTTCTTATTGTTTTTCTTATCTTTAATTTTGTCACTTATTGTTAGTAATTATAATATTTGAAAAAAAATTTGAATTTTAACCACTACAATTTTTCTCGTATTTTTTTCTTGATCAATAGTATTTCATGACAATGTTTCTACCCACGAGATTTTATCATAAAGGATGCACGTCATGCGTCGGTCTTCGGCATCATCAAACCGCTATGGCAATCAAACGAGTATACACCAAGAATTAATTTTCGAGTTAAATATCAATTCTAAATTTTGTAAATTCCAAATAAAATAGTACAAGTATGTCTAACAGAGTTATACAGACGGAGAATACCTTGTCAGAAAAACAGACGACATAGGTATCATACATAGGTTTCTCAATCAACATCCTAATTTCTCAGACACAATTTTTGTATCTCTTAAAATTTTTTTTTGATTCGCTCAAGAATGGATTTTAAAAGCATGAGTTTAAAAAGAATGGGTTTTAAAAGCATGGGTTTTAAAAGAATGGGTTTTAAGTGCACGACTCAGTGGAACATATTGCAGACCAAAAAAATATTTGTGCTCGCTATCTACCATTAGACATTATTCGTCTGGTGACTTACGAGCGATAACAAGGGAATTCACGTTGGAATTTTTTTTTACTCTCCCCTCCTCGCATACGTGGGTGCGAGACATTTTCTCATCGATACGCGAGATTGAACCTGTTCTTGACGTCGCCCCACCGTCGTCAATCGTCATCGCTTTTTTTGCGTTTCTTTATATTTTTCCTCGGTTATACTTTTCTTGCGAATCAGTTTAACGGTTGTCGCTGTACATGCACGATTAAGGAAACGTAGACATATCCTCCCCAAAGATCCTCGAGGTGTTGCAAAAAGACAGAATAAAGATTGCGGTACATCGCGAGCTTACACTTTCAATCACTGTATACCTTGTATACCTTGTACTTTTATTACGCAAACTTTTCACGTAAACGAAGGAACAACAGACAAAGATATTTTAATGAAGCCGTTGAAATCCAAAGGCAAGTTGTCACTAAATTTATTATTAAATAAGATTGTATATTTATACCTCAGATTTTATTTATTATTATTATATCTCAGATATTATTTATTTTGAGAGATAATTTTAATTATTTCTATTTGTTACATTAATAAATTTGATAGTACACATCTTTTTCTTAATCGTTTCCAGTTCTTATGAATGGTGAAATAGTGTTTCTCCCTTTGTCTTTCTCTCTCTCTTTCTCTCTCTCTCTTTGTGTATTATTTAATAACAATTTAATTTATATTATTCGATTATATTCTGGACAGCAAATTGTTGAAAAAAATTATGCTTTTATTAATTACATTTCTATTTCTTGTACTTAATGCTTTTTTGTCTCTTTTTATTATTTTATATGTGTTCTTAATTTGATGTACATATTTTATATTAAGCACATATTTAAATAATAAGACTTTTTAAATAATAAGATTTTTATATAGGATTATCAAATTTTTTTGAGATGCTAACTTCCGCTTTTGCAACAATTATTCATCGCATTATTAAATAACAAAACCCAGCAAGTATCGTTATTAGACAAAATATGAAATTGTATGTTTAAAAATATTTATATTGTTATATGATAATATTATCTGTTCCGGTTTCGGAACAGATAATATTGTTCGAGATAAACCTTATAAATTGTTGACTAATTGAATACACACAGGTTGTAATGAGACTGAGAGAGATAATTTTAATTATTTCTACTTGTTACATTATTAAATTTGTTTGATTGTATAAATCTTTTTTTAAATAAGCAACATATATAGTTTAATATTTCCTTGACTATTTAATTCACGAACAGATTTGCTTTATTTTTCTTTGCCCTTGAATTGAATTATATATAATTATCTCTTATGTGATTCTTTCTTCTGATTCTTTTCTGATTGTAACAAATATAACTTACAAACGGAACTAGTAAAAAAAAAGTATTTAATTTTTTCTTGACTATTTAATTCACGAACAGATTTGCTTTATTTTTCTTTGCTCTTGAATGGAATTATATATAATTATCTCTTACGTGATTCTTTCGTTTTCTGATTGTAACAAATATAATTTACGAACGGAACTAGTAAAAAAAAGTGTGGGTGATACATAATAATTTGCGTATATCTGCATAATATTTCTTCAATTGTGTCCGAATGTGAAACGATCGCGAGACAAGTCGACCAAGCGTAATCCATTAATAACGATCATTTATTATATGATAATGTGCATACTGTCGAAGTGAATATTGATTATATTATATTCATTTCACCTGTTTCAATGGCACATTTATATATCGTTATATAATGTATTATTTATTTCAAGTTATTTCACATTTTGAACACTTTCGCCATAACAGTATAAAAGTTTGATTGATATATTTTAATGTTAATTTTAATTTTAATTTTGTTAATTTTAATTAATTATAATTTTGATATTAATGTTTATTGTTATTAATGTTTTAAAAATTGATGATGTATATATTTAATATATCATTCTCAGGATATTAAGTTTATTGAAAGTCTGTAGCTTGAAAAGTCTGTGTCAAACTTATTACTAATTACTTAATAAGAAAAACTCAGTGATTTTAGTTTTATTTTGTTTCTCTTCTTTTCCGTTGAAGAAACTATTATATAATAATGTGAATGTCTAAAAGCGTTGGAAATATTTATACAATTTTTAATTCTTGTTTTATTTTTATATATTTTATAAATATAATCTAATTACTTTATAAAGTCTGTGTTATACAAGCAAATATTACAAATAATGTTACTGCCAATTGTATTTTTATTATGCATACTATTTAGCATAAAAATACAAGTGTTTATTTGTAGTAAATTTTACATTTTCATTTACCATTTTATTTACTTTATGCATTTTTTTATAAAATAATTAACTTATATCAGTAAGACATATGTTATTATAAATAATTAATATATACAATGTCGATAAATTTAATTACAAACTTATATACTTCTGGACAAAATTAACGCACAATTTTTTTGCCCTTTTTCTTTAAATGCTTATATTTAAATTTTAACGAAAAATTTTAAAGAAAAAGTGTAAAAAAATTATGCATTAATTTTGTCCAGGAGTATATTTGAATTTTGAATTGCAAATGGCTCTTTTTTGTAATGATTCCTTGCAATAATAATTGATATCTTATTATTAAAAAAAAAAGAATATTAGAAATTTTTAAAAATTGTTAAAAAATGCGAAAAAGATTAGAAATTTTATTTAAAAAAACATTTTTTAGTACTATGGAAATTCAAAGAGTATCAGATAATAATTTAATAATTCAAAGAGTATCAGATAATAATTTTGATTTTTCTTGTATATAAGGTAAGAAGGGATCCTTAAGCAAATATTTTAGCAAATAAATATTTTGGTATATAACTCTTCTATTTGGTATATAATTCTTCTGTTGAAAATCACACACAATCACAACAACGTACGTCGCGTGATGGAATGTGATCGACTAACTATTTATCAGTATATACCGATAATTTGGTTGATTTTCAACAGAAGAATTATTGTGATTCTTTACAAATGTCAAGATATAAATTAGAATCATCTGATAAAACGAGTTTAATATTTTATTAATCCTACATGTTCTTCGAAGCAAAATTTATAAGATGTTTATTAAATTTATAATACATTTATTGTAATTAAATTACTTGATTCGTATCTCGTAAGAATATGTTATCCCGTTTTATGAGAGAGCGATTAACTGCTTGCATATAGTGATTATATTTTATCGATTAATCCCGTAAACAGGTTTTTCACGTAACATATCATGTAACGGATTTTATTATATGATATATTCTGCGAAAGATCTATTTTCTATAGCGGATTATTATCTTATGAATCTTTTTCTCTTTCTTGTGTCTTTTATTTAACTAAATTATAAAATCGTATTAAATTGATTAATATCGCGAATAAATAAATATGCAATGATATTATGACGATGTAAGATGCCAAAATTGTGATAAAAAAACATAATAAATAACATAAATATGTTATTCATTTTAAATACTATTACTTTGAGACTTTCAATTTAAAGATATATATTTTCGACATTTGGACAAGTATTATGACAAATAATAGTTTCTCCTGATCGTATAAATATACCAAAGTATCAACGTGAAACTAACTGCGAGAAAGTGGCATACTCAGTGATAAGTGACAGGAATAATAATTTTTTTCACGCCTTTTTCTGCTTACGATACATTGTTTAGATGCAAACCTATGTGTCAGTCAGGTGTAATATAAAGTTTAATCCACATAAATCTAAAACGGCTACATTTATGTTATGGCAAGATTTATTATAATTCAGTGCTAATTGTTTATAGATGAAGACGCAAAAACCGGAGATTCAGGTCCAGCAGATTTTGAACGGGCAATCACAGCAACAGGTAAGTACAAATTTGCCTATAATTGTGAGTCTCAGTATTTTATAATATGTATAAATACTTGCCTATAATATACTATGATAATAACATAATGTCAGATCGATCAATATACTTACTTATCAATGTACTTACATATATTATTAATATAAATTCAATTGTGAAATGTTTTATAAATATTTGTTAAAAATTGCATTTGAATTAGAATTAGTACATGCAACTGATTCTTTATGAAATTAATAGAAATTCACGCTTTGCTGAATACGTTAAAGAAGCGATATCGCTTCTTTAACGTATTCAGCAAAGCGTGAATTTCTATTAATTTCATAAAGAATCAGTTGCATGTACTAATTCTAATTCAAATGCAATTTTTAACAAATATTTATAAAACATTTCACAATTGAATTTATATTAATAATATATGTAAGTACATTGATAAGTAAGTATATTGATCGATCTGACATTATGTTATTATTATAGTATATTATAGGCAAGTATTTATACATATTATATTACAGATAGAGAAGAAGTCATCAATGATTCGTCACGTGTAATCATATATAATCTTTGAACATTTTACACAATATATCAGATAGAATTGAAAAATTAAAAAATTAAAATGTACTAATATGTGTCCAATATTTGTTACCAGGCTATGGAAAATTTAATTACTTGTTGCTACTGGCAGTACTCCCGGGTAGTTTCTCTAGCATCTTCTCCTCATCAGTGATGTCCTACGTGCTACCGTCCGCTGAATGTGATCTCCAGCTAACCATGTTTGACAAGGGACTATTGAACTCAATGACGTTCGCAGGTGGTATTTTCAATTCGCTTAACAATTGCATAACAACGGTTTATTACAGATGCGAGGGAGCTCAATGAGAGCGCCAGAGTTTAGCAAGCTTAAAGTATGATTATTGCGCGATGTACACTGCCGGTTCTTTATAGACAATAGAGTGAGGGCAAACACGAACCCACGGTAAATACCGTATCATCTTATTTCTTGTCGCATACGAATTTCAATCGGTCGAATTATTTTCGCTCGGTTGTTTTCGCCCACGATCGCTTACGATCCGTGCGAGCAGCTTATCCAGTGGCGGATTAAGGTTCCTCATAAATTCAATGGTACAGCTATCTCGGGGGCTCTCCTCGCTTACAAAGGCCTTGAGAGAACTCTAAATCAATGACAATGATTTCCATCTTGTATTGTTATTTACATTAAAAGTAGGAAAACGCAAGAGTTTATTATCGAAAAATTATTTTTAATAAAAGAAATTATTTAAGAGAGAAAAAGAAATATTTATGAAATACACCTTCTTGTATATCATTAATAAATGCCATTAATATATTTGGAATATTATTATAAAAAATATAGGATGAATTATTAAAAAATATGACATTTAAAATATCTTTCTTATGATATTGAAAATATAAGACGCAGTTTAAGTAATAATTTACCACCACGCCCAAAGAATATATAAACACACACTTTGAAAGATATAATTATATGCATTATGTAAATGTGTATTTCGCGTCTCACGATTCTCGATTATAGAATTTTTATGAAATACAAACTAAAGAACGGAGCAAAAACACCTTTAGTTAAAATTTTCAGCTTGGAGACCCCTAGGTGTGTGCCTAACGAATAATCCGACACTGATCTTGTAAGGTCATGAGATATCATAAATATGGAAACAATATTGCTTAAAAAAATAAAAGTTTAATTCTATTTTTTTAAGCGATAAAAGTTTAATTTCGATTGCACGCTATTTCTCACATCTGTCTTAAGATCAAATTTCTGATTGAAAACTTATATGAATATAGAATCGGCTAATTTTATCAATTTGTTTCAGGAATGATTAGCACAGTATTTTTCTGGGGTTGCATGGCCGACACGTTCGGTCGTAAAAAACTAATGTTTTACGGTTATTTGATTACTGGTTTGCTAAGTCTGGCGACGTGTTTTTCGCATACCTCATGGCTTTTAATAACATTCAAATTTTTCGATGGTGTCATGTAAGTTGGAATGGTCGTTGTGATCTGATGTTATATACCGCATATGCATAAGTAAATACACTAATTAATTACATCAAATATTAATTATGCCAGTAATAATTGTAATATTAATACTTTTGTGACTAGATTGAAATATTTAATGAATTTGTTACATTTAATAAATATTCTATATTTATTCATTCTGTGTTTTCAATTTAATTACAAAATAAATATTGTAGTAACACACACACACACATATATAAATATGTATATAGAATAAAAATTTTATAATTTAAAAATATTTTATAAATATATATATGTACAATAAAAATTTTTTATACAATACAAATTTTATACAAAAGTATTCCGACTAATAAATTGCAGCATAGCTGGCCCATACGCAGCACTTATGTCATACTTGGCGGAGTTACATGACGAAGTCCATCGATCGCGGTCGTACATGTGGCTTGGCGTGTTCTTCTCACTTGGAAACATTTCCCTGCCATGTAAGTACAGCCTTGACACACCTTATCTGAAAATCAACGAGGGTTGAATTATATACAACGGCGATTTTTAAGCCAGGAATGTGTACGTATTATAATATGCGCATTGCTGATATTATTAAATTTATTAAGTACTAAGGGAATTGAAATTGATTTAAAAAATTAATAAAAATAATAAGACATGCAATTTATTTCATATAAGTACGTGAATATTTTATGATAAATAAATTTGCATTAAATAAAAAATATTTTTTAATTGTTTATTCTTAGGTATAGCATGGCTCATACTACCTCAAAACTGGGATGTTACACTTTTTAATCAAACAATAGAAATAAATTCGTGGAGAGTGTTTCTAGCAATCTGTTCATTACCAGAATTTCTAGCGTGCGCCGCTCTTTACGCTTTCCCAGAGAGTCCACGTTTTCTTATCCTAAAAGGTCGATACGATGAAGCGTTGAATGTCTTCAAAAAAATCTACTCACTCAATACTGGAAAAGATCCTGACACATATCCGGTAATTATGTATAACAATATATTTTATTCAAAAGACGTATTTAAACCTCTTATTTTAATTTTAAAAATAGTTTAAAAAACATTTTGAAAAGAATTAATATATTTTAAAATGTAGTTCAATTCCGATTAAAATCAGCATGAATTTAAGCTTCTCGATCGAACTGTTCATTTACTGTCACGAATAACTTTACATCAGGAATTGAGTAAATAAAATATAAATTAACAATATAAAACACTTTAAATCACTTCGACGAAGCTATAGAACATGCATAATGAAATGCGGCTATTGGTCGAATTTATTAACGATGCCACTGAATTGTCAGATAAAATCTCTCAAGAATGAATATTCCGTCGAATCTTCCGGAGAACGAATACAGGACAAGATGCGTAGCTGCTTAAAGCAGATGAAACCTCTTTTCCTACCACCTAATATTTTCAAACTGATACTTATATCGACGATACAGCTGGGAGCAACGTTAGGGTTAGTTTGATTAATTTCTCTCTTTCTCTCTCTTTTTTCTTAAATTCAATTTAGAAAAGAAATAAACGCAATTTATGAGATTCTTCAATTGCAGATCGAACTCACTGCGACTTTGGATGCCACAGTTGTTTGCGATGATCGAGAGTTACAAGAATACTGTCATGAAGAATGACAACCATGTATCTGGTCTGCAATCCTCATTTTGTTACATGTTAGGTCAAGAAAAATTGCATCTTAATTCTACTCGATATATCAATGAAACGATTAACAATGACGCAGTTGCATGCGTTCCAGTAAGTTATCTTTCTGGTGTGAATAAAAATCTTTGATCTCAATTTATGGAAAGTGAATTCGGGAAATAATGTGCATATTAATTTCAGATGGAGATGAATTCTCAAGTCTTTATTAATTCTATTGTTATCGCCATTACAAGCGTAATCGGTTATACTCTGGGTGGTACTCTGATTACTGTAGTTGGGAAAAAGAAACTGATGGGTAAGATACCGATGATTTGTAATAATAGATGCAGTAATAAATAAATGGTTATTTTATTCATAAAATTAGCCAAGAAAGATGTTCGCAATGTCATAATTTTACTGTAAAATTCATATAATTATTTGTAATTATTATATGTATTATAATTATTATATTTTTGCAGCAATTTGTTTCATTGTCGCTGCTATCTCTTGTGGTTCACTTTATTGGGCTGAAGATACCAACAGTATTCTCGGACTATCCTCAGTATTTGTTGCTATGTCGAGTATAGGTGGTGCAACTGTTACTAATATTATCGTTGACAATTTTCCCACATGTTTAAGGTATCGGAGTAATTTAAAGTGTTTATTAATTTAAAGTATTTAAAATATTAAATCATTGTTAAATATTAAATGAGAAGAAATCGTTATTTATTTGTATTTACTTCATATTATTCTTACATATTTATATTTCGTAAACAGAACTATGGCAGTCAGCATAACTATGATGATGGGAAGAATAGGCGCAGTAATAGGCAATTTATTGTTTCCCATTTTATTTAATTTATCATGTCTAGGACCATTTATTATGATCGGCTCGGCTTGCTTAGGTAAAGATTACTTTCTTGTGTTTATACAAATATATTATAATTGTACATACAAGTTTTTTGAAACATATTTAAAATTTTTCTAGCATGTGCATTTTTGGTCGTTGTACTACCTCGCAAAAAAGAAGATGTCGACAAAGCAAAGGATATTCCTTAATTTTTCGAAGATATATCCTGTATTTATCGATGTAAATATTTTTTTGTTATTATATATTTTAACTATCGATATTTATTATTTTTATATCTATGCACAATATTTTCTGCCATGTAAATAAACGTGTCCATATATGTATAGTCTGTAAGGCTTTATTTCGATCTAATGTATATAATATATATCATGATGTATAAATTATGTACTCGCAAATGTATATATACATACATATATATCTCTTAGAAAAATGTATTTTTAAAGAATTATGCATCGTTAAATACATAGAGTCGATCTCAATAATATTTATCGTATTTTTATTAAAAATAATGAAAATAAAATAGAGAAATAATATAATAAATAGTACAATGTGTAAAAATGTAATAAAATTATATTGACTAATTTTCGTTATATTATTTCGAATATCCATTTTGTCACGTAAGTTATAAAGACGCTTGATGAAATTTATTTATTTAAAATGAAAATCAAAGAAATAGAATATAACAATTATATTATATTATTGTATAACTTTATTTGTTTTCTTAAAAATTATTTATCTTATATTAAAATAAAATGCATCCGACTTTAAAGCTTTTGTTAATTTAAGTATAATTTGTCATTTTTTTCATTTTGAATTAAAATTGCGAAATAATATATGAATCATTGAATAATATGTGAATCGAAAGATTAAAATGATTAAAAACTGATACATTGGTTTTATTAATAATTATGTGTGTGTAAAATTAATTGCAATATAAAATTCAATATTTATTTAATATAATATAGTTTAATATAATATAGTTTATTATATATTTTATAATTCTGTATTATATATTTTTTATTTTTTGAATTACAATAGCATGCATTAAAATACAATTATAATAAAAATGTTACTTTCTCGGTTGTCTCCATTTTAACGAAGACATTTGCTGAGTAAGGAGGTTTGAATATTCTAAATCTTCGAGCTATGTCAGCGTAACGTAGTTATCGATGAAAACACCTGGAAGCATCCAGATATCGGACAGATTGAAGGGAGAAAATCAAATTAAGAGAGATACCTTAAGAGATGATTTTCCAAGTTAGAGAGAAAAAATTGATAACAATCTTCATCTCTCCTTCACCAATTAAAATTCTGTTTTTAAAAAGTTTGGAAGAATTGAAATTGCTAAAACAAATCTTAAAATGGCAATTGTCAATTTAGTGAGAAGATCAAGAGATTAATCTGCGAAAATAAAAAAAGCAATAAATATAATAAAGTTGAAAGAAGGACACTAGCTAAACCAGAGTGATTGGAATTTAAGACTTGCAAGTTATTATTTATGCAGATATCTATAATATTATTAGAATAAAAAAGATTATGTACATTTAATATTTTATAACAATTATGGAAATTTTTTCATGTCGACGCTTTTGATTTCTACATTTTTCTTACATTTTTATAAATTGTATTTTTCATCTGTTTTTTTATAGTGCAAATTTTGCATTTTAACTTGACTGTTCGGGCTCGATTCTTAGTCGGACTGCTGCGATCGTGCGCAATATTAGAGCTTGCTTTTACCAGCTCTCCGACGTACAATGTGCCAGTGTCGATACAGCAGTGGTGGTCGCTGGTCGGGCTCGAGCGATCCGACGTGATGTGAAGAACTAAATTCTGGAGTCCTGCTGGTTTTGACTGGGTTCGTAGGTAGTTGAACGCCCCATCGGAAATCATGGAAGAAGTCTTGCAGAACGGCAACTATCAGAGGGAGGCTAACGCCAACAACATGACCGCCATGGAGACGCGTAAAGAGGTAAAGAGAGCTCCGGAGCTTGTTTTCCACGTTCGTCTGACAAATCGATACATAGCGTTTCGCCTATCCAAAGTCGTGTTGCGTCTCACGTTGTAGAATCGTCGTATGATTCCGGAATTTCAAAAGGAATCAATATTTCCGGATCAGACCAAAAAATATTAGATTAATTAATTTTTTAATTAAGATTGGGAATTTTTTAATTCAGGCGAATGTATGTCGCGCAGTGATCATCAGAGTACTGCGCAGCGTCTCTCAATCGGTGTCACTGACTTGCATCGTATACGTGTGTATTCGTGTATGTGTATGTGTATACACATATACACATACACGTATACATAATAAATGTATACATACGTATATATTCGTTTCTCAATCCTCTTGTATATCTTTGTATGTTCTTGCTGTGAATACAGCTGTTGCCTATCAACGTTTGTGTACCATTGTATTTTCAAACCACAATATCCTGCAGTGATAAAGGGACGAGAATAAGCGCTGTCTTTCAAATCTACATAAATATTTGGAAATTGAATTTGTAGTATAATACATTCCAGGATTGTTTGCTGGACCATATGGAGATCTCAATAGTAGAAGCTGAAAAAAGAGCAAACAAGGCGCTCAATCTACGAGAATTTTACACGGTATATCTTATTGAAACCAAGTGAGTAAAGAAGTATAAAAATATATTGAATTTCATATACATAACAGTTCATTGAAAATTACTATTATATAATTATATTCCCCAGCACATTTTTTTATTATATATTACATTTTATTGTTTCTTACAGAGTCACTGATCCAGACTTCAAAAGCGCGTTAAGTAGGATAAGCTCATTATGGCGACGATATACCGAATTTGAATTGCTTCGCGCTTATTTGGAAATTTCTTATCCTTATATTGTATTACCACCATTACCGGAGAAGAAAGTTCTCTACGCGTGGCAAAAAGTGACGACTGATACATTCGATCCCGACTTTGTCGATCGTAGAAGAGCTGGTCTTGAAGTACGTTTTCGATATTTTGATATTTCCAAAAATAATTGTTCAATAGGAATATAAGAATATTGAAAAAACTTAAAAAATATTTTTGTATAGAACTTTCTTATAAGAGTGGCATCACATCCTATCCTTTCGCGAGATGAGCATTTTATGGGATTTCTCCAGCAAAAGGATGGTTGGAGAGAAAGTGTTAAAGAGACAGGTATTTTATTGCTATAAATTATATACAGGCTAAAATTAATTTCTTATATTAAATTATTATATCTAATCACCTTTATTATTTTTACATAGGGTATCTGCAGATTGCAGAATCAAAACTAAAAGCGCTTAGTGTAGCAGTACGATTGAGAAAACCGGATAAGCGATTCGAAACTATAAAAAATTATGGAATTGAGCTGCAGGTATGCATCGCAAATTAAAATAATCATGTAATCATGTATCACGTAATAAGGTAATGATACTCTTGTACAATCTTGCAGAATAATTTGTGCAATCTTCTGCGAGTACGTGCACGCCTCGTGGAAAAGCAACATAGTCTATACAAATTGCACGCGAATTACGGACGTGTCTTTAGTGAATGGAGTGCGATAGAGAGAGAGATGGGCGATGGATTGCAGGTATTCTTCGTTACATTATAAAAATAACATTGTAACTGTGTCAATAAGCGAACAATTCTTGATTTTATTTATTGTTATTATTTGCGATTATAAGAGCACAGTAATGCGACTGATGAAAGAAAAGAAAAAAAAAACCAGTGTAAGTATAAAAATTGCCAAACACCACATTGCAGCTTGTTTTCTTAGAAATCGGGACACTACTTGGACTCATTAGCGGCAACGATAGATACCACACTCGAGGAGGAAGAGCTCATAGCCGATCAGCTGAAGGAGTGGCTGTTCGGTGCGTCGGCGTTGCAGGCTGTGGTTAGACGCAGGGAAGCCTTGCAACTTGCGAAAGACGAGGCACAGGATGCCTTAACCACCGCGTTTGAACAGAAGGAGAAAGTTATGCAAGGTATTGGAAAATACGTATTCGAAATAACATTAGAATTTTATTCTTTTTGTATAAAGATAATAAATTTTCTTATTTTCAAGGTAAAGCCGGTTTGATGTCACGCTTATTCGGCTCCGTGGACACGGAGGAAGTTCGCGAATTGAAGATTCTTCAGTTGGAACAGCGAATTGCGCAGCATGATAAATCTGTAAAACAAATGGACGAAGATTTAAAGTAAGAGACAAAGTTCTGATGAGCGTCATCCTGTATGATATTCGTAAACGTATAATTTTAATAATTCGCTGATCCTGCCACAGGTCTTTTTCCATTAAAGCCATGATAGATATCGAGAGATTCCAACACCAAAAGGTCATCGATCTGAAAGAAACTTTGGCAGCTTATTGCGTCTTGCAATTTAAACTAGCTAGAAAGGTTGAGATTAAATTCAATAATAAATTTTTACTTTAAGTGTTACCTTATACATGTTGAATTTGACGATTACATTGGATGTTTTTCATTGATACAGGGTCTCCAAGCTTGGCAACACATCAAAGATTGTCTCGAAAGTATGCCGTGAATATGTTTATAATGAAGCAGACTGTCACAGAACAATAATCGCTTCCGCGTTTCTTATGCGATGTACATTCCTGCATCTGTAAGTTTATACTCATGCCCTACGCTTATTATCATATCGATGTATATGATGGTTATTATTTAATGTTTTAGATTTATGTATAGGAGATATTATGTATGTATGTAATTCATATATATGTTGGATATATATAAACATGACAAAACACATTAATATTTATATATATTATATTTACACCGCTTACGTGCGGGCATGAATCGATTACAATCAATGATGCGCGAAAAAGAGATCGTACTTAATTGTATCAAACAACAATGCGATATTTTCTCGCGAAAATTTCTTGCATCTCATCAAATCTGCTATATGCAAATGAGAAAGTCAGAGGCAGATTTTATTCTAATGTTGATGTAATTTTTTATACACCTTTCTTTCTTCGTCGTTGAATAGGCACTTTAGTAATTACACATTTTCGCTATTAAATCCAATTTAATCTTTCATGAAGAATTATATTCATTTTTGAATAAATGTATACAATGTATTTGTATCATCGAAAATCAATGTGCATTATCAACACAAGTTAATTGTATTTATTACTATTAACAGTATTTATTATGTATATTATTTCAATGGCGTATATTTTCAGTATTATTATTATCAGATATTGTTGGCGTTAACTATACAAATTTTTTTCAATTGTTTGTAATTTATTAGTAGATTATATCGTATTATCGATATATATGATCTCTCATATATACATATACATATGTATATATAAATTTAATTTTATTAAATATATCTCATAATTTCTTTCTTTTGAATTTTAAACATATTTTGTATATTCTTTTTTATGATATTGTTATGCACAGATAAGTATACAATTATTTCTTCCCGTCGCATTTAAATACTCGAAAAGATGTACAATTTATATATATTTATTTTGTATTTATTTTCAGCGTAGGCACGATTATATTGTCATATATTATACCTTTTTATACATAACTTTAGCTTGATGTTACGAACAGGTAATTAAATATATATATATATAGTTCATCTATATTTTTTATTATTGATATATATAGCGCATTCTCTTCATATTTAAAAACAAAAGGATAAAATTTTTTTTTTAGAGGATAAAACTTTTGTTTTTATTATATATAGTAGTAATTCATATGTGGACTTTAAAAAGTGCAATTAGAGGAAGATTATAGAGAGAATAAACTTAATGTCTATATGAAGATTTTATCTACATAGTTGTATCAATCAATTTATATTTGTTATTTTCTGTTCAGAAGCACAACGTGTATATTTTGTATTTTTTAAAAATTCTGCAAGGATAAACAAGAAACTCTGTACGATATATATTTTCCATTTAAGTAAATTACCTTATATTTATTTTTTTATAGGCACGTATTATATTATTATATCTTAGACATTTTTATACATGTATTCAGCTTTATATTGTGAACAGATAATAAAAAAAAATTGTATATATGACTCACTTATATCTATATCACTTTATATCTATATCTATTTGTAAGCATAATGCTTACTCTAATTTTGTTTTTGCAAATAAAAAAATCTATTTTTTTTTCTTTTTTGTTAAAAGTTGTTAAAAGTTTTGTTAAAAGTTAAAAATGTGATAAAAATTTACACATAGATTTAAAAAAATGCAACAATTAGCTTGACAGAGGGAAAGCATTACAGAGAATAAATTTAGTGCTTATTATAGATATTTTATTCACATATTTCTATTAGTCAGTTCATTTTCACTATTTAATCATTCAACGTAAGCTGTGTGTTATATTTTTAAAATATTGCAGGAATAATAGAAAGATACATCGTGGAATATATTTTACCGTCCACATGCGGTGCAGAAAAAAATTATTTCCTGTCAGCTCAAGTACATTCCTGCGCATCTGTCAAAATATTAAAGATAATTATATCTTAATCACAAACTCCCGAAATAATTCTCAAGGATATGAAAATACGTATGGTACTATATATAATTGAATTATTTATGAAAATTATAAAATTATATTGTATTATATATAATATATGAATGTAATAAAATTATTTTTACCGAGCAGAATGTAATTCACAGTCAATTTAATAGGAGAAAAAAGAATGAAAAAACAGATTTAAGACGCAGATATTTTCCATATCTATAATTATCAAAAATATTGATACTTGAAGTGTATATACATTTACAAATAACATTCAATAAAAGACATGCGGTTAAAATTAATAAAAAAGACGACGAGAATTTATTACAGTTAATAATTTACACTCATGTCATTTACATAACAAATATCATATTGTCAAGATTCAATCGACATAAAGAGAGCTACAGTATTTTACAATACAATATCAACATTGTATACAAGATATTTTATTCATTTTAAGATTATATACAATTACATAAAATTATCTCTTTAACTGTCTGAAGATTTTAATTTGCAATGAACTCGATATACAGTATGTTTTATGATGTGATCTCAGATCAACAGAAGTAATTTTATATTATTAAAGAATGAATTTACAGATTTTTAGATTTTACTTCTCTCAAAACTAATTCGCAATTTATGCAATTTATTGCATACAATGTCAAAAATATGTATACATGATGCATTCAAAACGCTGTATATGTTAATCATTGATTATAGTTAATCATTGATGATCATAAAGCTTCATAATTCGAGTAATCGTTAACGTCACTTAAAACATATGTATTATGCATTACATAATATATATGTTTTAAGTTTATCACGTTAAATATTAAAATTGCTGTGTAATCCTTAAATAATATAATCCTTTTGGGTTTAATAATAATTATTTGTAATCCTTAAATGTAATCCTTAAATAATATAATCCTTTTGGGTTTAATGATAATTATTTATGCTATTTGCGTATTTAGCAAAATATTTGGCACTCTATCATTCTTTGTTTTAGAAGCAAAGAATAAACAAATAGATCAAATAAAATTTTATCAATTTAGTTTTATATTTTTTATATTGATTTTTTTTCGATTTCATTTTTTTTAGATTTCATTTATATTTTTATATTCAATATTTTAAAGAGAGTTATTCATTAAAAGCATTTTGATATCGGACATACAAAAGATTCAAAAAGAAAAAATAAAAAAACAGAATGATACTCGCGTAATATGTACATATATACCATGCAAAATAAAGTAAGGTAATATAAATAAAATTTTGCTGATCCAACGAGTGTATATTTGACAAGAGTGCAGGAAAGATTTCTGAGTTGGATCGCAGAATACTATTGATTTGATTTATTACTACATCACTATGATATAAGACCGTAATAATCTTGACATGTTTATCCGTTTGAAGCTCTAAATTTATTTGTAGATGCAGAGCGTCGGATGCCAACATCCAGCGAACAGAATTTGCTTGACAAATAAGGATAGTAAATCACCGTGTCAAATTTTGTGGCTTTTCTTCTGAAGATTTTCTTATTCCCTACTCTCGTTGAATGTTCTCATTAGAACTTTCTTAAATTAATCATGAGAATCGGAGTTACAAACATTATTCAGTCTTCTCTATTAGCAAAGAAAATTCTTAAAACCGTGATCTTAGCAGAACTTTCAAGTCATCTCATTTTGGTCATACTATTGTATTAGTGTACATCACATTCTTCTTTAAGTGGCGATTGTTAGTGTCATTATTCACGAAAAATGCAGATCGAGACGAAAATATCAGTCTTCTCAAAGATTTCGAAAAAAACATCCGTGCAAAAACATTCTCTTTTCAAACAGGTCGCTGTTCATTGTTTTCGCGGATGTTCCACATAGTCATTGACAGTTCTTCACGAGGATTTCCGGATTCGTCAAACACGCGTTCTTCGGGCACGGTTGATCCACGAGGAAATTTGAAAACTTTAAAACCAGGTAACCACTTTAGAAGCCTCGACCATTTTTTCTCTGATCTTGCCATATCGGAAACTTGTACATTCTTGTAAATCGTTCTCTTCGTCCACGATGTATCCTGATTCCTACGAATCGATCGATCCTTGCCACGTTTGCCTTCCTGCGACTTATGATGCTCATTGTAAGATCGTCGCAGATTACCATTATTCTTCATTTCTTTAACATATTCCTTCCGCATTGAATTCCTTCCGGTAAATTCTGGCAAATTTTCCGAATCTTTCGTCGGTTGTCTTCGACTGTCTTCCATAGAATTTCCCGAACCCTCCATGCTATCAGCTATTATATCGGATCCTCCGCCTGATTCTCTACCGGATCCTCCACCGGTTCCAGGTGTCCTAGAACCATAAGCACCGATGGTTCTTTGTTGAGATCGCGACAGGCTGGAATACGAGCGTTGCTCGTGACGCGCCGGCAATCCAGGAAGTCTGCAGCTCTTCGATAACGTCTCCTAGAACGGTTCCGACTCGATTAATTTATGACAAGTAAAATATATTGTGCAAAAACAGACAAAATTTATAGTGAAGTAGTAACAATTTAAGAAGCTTATTTATTTAAAAAATATAAATTTAAGACATTTTTTTTTAATGTCTATTCTTTTCCAATATTCCAATATATATTTTTTTATATAATATTTTTAGAAAAGTATTTTTTCATTTTTATTATCAAATTTTAAATAGTTGTTACATTACTAATTTTAAAATTGTAATACATGTTTTATAAACTTTGATAGAAAAGTTATCAATTAAAATGATTTTCAGATCAAATCCACTTCAATTTAGTTCAATTTAGGTTTCTTACCGTAAACGCTATACGGAATTTGTGCGACATAATGTTGTAAAGGATCGGGTTGATTGTCGTGGATACGTAATAGAAAACACCTGACACATAAGTCACTAAGATGTACAGGAACTCCATCCACGGGCCATTTGATGTGATATGATCTTCCGTATTAGTTCCATATATGGCGATTAATCGTTGTACATGAAACGGAGCCCAACAAATGAAGAATGCTATCACAACCGCGACTGCAACAATTCGTAAACGTTTGTATAATTTGCATTCGTCAAATGGACTTATTATTGTTTGACTATTTTTTTACACCGTAACAAACACATGCGTAGTCAGTATATTATTATCTATTTCTTTTTATAATAAATTATTATTTGCGATATAGAGATCGATCTTTTCTTAGAAGCTTATAGTGAATACGGGTTTAATGAACCTAAGCTACCCCGGAACTCTATCCAATTCTTGAAAGTTTTTCACTCTATTTAAGTCTCTTGGGGATTTAAATAGGAGACGTAATAATAAAACAGATAATATCTAAGAACTCAAAACATTAATATTACAGAGCTATTAAATAATCTGCTCGGTCATATTATTTTGTTTCCGATATACGAGTTATGTTTTAAAACCTTTTTCTCTGATTTTATTATGGTTGGATAGTTCAATAAATCAATTAATAATATTGTAGATTGGAATATATAATATGATGGAATATAACTGGTGAGTAATGTAAGATACTATAATAAATAATTTTACAAATGAATGACATCAAGAAGATTAATAATATCTTGAATCAAATGTCATGATTAGAAATAATAAAAAAAACAACATTATATTACTAATGCAATGAGAATGGCTCAATGAAAGGGATTCGCATTTTTATTTTGATTAATGTTTTTGCTTTTCAATAAATTTTTGTGCATTTTATTTACCGTGCTGGTTCGTATTGCCTTTTATTTTTATATTGAAAAAAATATCTTGTATATTTAAATATTTTGCTAATATAATATACATAAAGCAGCTAATATCGCACTTTTTTAATAAACAATGGAAGTGGATGATTAATCAATTGGATAAATTTAAATCAATTCAAATAAATTCAATTATGTCTAGAAGATTAGAAATCTCTTTTATAAAATGATTTTATAACGTTCTTACATCCAAGTAAAATACTGTCTATATAACAAACAAAAATCTATCGAATTACAGAAATACGATTACGGAATTACGTTAATAAAATTTGATATTTTACAACAAAAGTAATACGATAAAATACGATAAAATACGATATTACAATAACCATTTAAATTAACCGGTAATCTTTTTTGAACTTTTGCTTAATTAAGCACTGTTATGAAAATGTTAAGGAATATAATCGCATTTTTATTAATAACCTATACATTTTTAAGTAATTGAAGCCAAATGTTCGCTTTTGTTTTATGAGATATTATGTTGAATTGCTTTTTAATTAAATTTTCTAAAGAGCAATTAAAAAATACGTATCAGTAAAAATTTATTTATTTATCGGAGATTTTTACATGGACCTTTATGTCATTTATATAGAAACATGTTTTGTTTTATTTTACTAAATTATATTGTACATGTATATTAAATTTATTTGGAAAGAAGATATGTGCTTAATGAACATTATAATTACATTTAAAATTATTGCATTATCTATCGTATCTTATAAGTTTCTATAAAGAATTTTTATTAATATAATTCACTGATATAAAATCAATAAATATGAATTAATAAAAATTTTTTTACGTCCTGAAAAATATTCGTAAAAATAATATTGCGTTGCTCATATTAAAATAACCGCATATTTTGTAACATAATTTGTAGTTGCGCCATTTTCCGTTCTCTAAAACCGGTTATCGTTATTCTGCATGACATTCTGTTTTAATTGCAGCACTAAATGCGTTATATAAAACGTATTTGTTTTGTCACAATTAATGATTTATTACAAATAATATAAAATAATATTGCACGTATACTATAATTATATATAATTTTCAAGATTAATTATATAATGAAAAAATTCTATTACAATCGATGTTTATTAAAATGAGGAACAATTTTTGAAACACATCTAATAAGAATATTAGCACATAAATATCTATTGCCATTTCTGGATTTTATTGCGTCTCTTTCTTCGCAAATTATATTTAGGACTTTGAAACCTTTTTATTATCATATGATAGAAAAATGATAAATAATGCTTATACATGATTGTTTCAGATGTAATTATATATTATTAAGTCTGTTTATTGCTCATTATTTTATACCAGTATAATTATAAACTAATATACTGTTATAGTATTATATAAGTTTGGAATATAGTTTTTTCTTTTCTCTTCTATTCATAAATTATTAGAAAAGTTTTACATATATATGTAAGAATAAATAAAAATGAATTATATGCTGTTAAAATATGGAATAAAATGAAGAAATTTTTATGTGAAAGTAATATTTTTTCTACAGAAAATAATTTGTTATAAAAAATTAAAATTTATTTTATAAAAATCACATATTTTTAGTGTAAAAAATATACACATATTTATTTGATATAAAAAACTTTTTAATTACATTTTTAAATAGAGAGTAAAATAGAAGTATCTAAAGTCATCTGAATGCATTTACTTAGATTGCATTATTTTTTAATTTTTTTTATTAATTATATCATTCAGATATGTGCTAGACATTTCTATTTTATATCCATTCTCTCAATATTCAAGATTATAAATTTCCTATATTTTTATTAAAATTATTTAAAAAATGAAAAAAATTTTTAGATCGTCTCTTATTTAATTTCCTCGAGTTATATCAAGTAATGCTATATCATATCCTGTATCGATATGTATCATATGTAATTGGTATATGTATATAAACTTATATATATAATTTTTCTTACGTTTTAAGTTATCATTTATTTTATATCACATATTAACATAATTATAATCGATTTTATATTTTTTTTAGCTTGCAAAGATTTTGAAATAAACGATGGAAATATTCTTGTGAATATCAGATTAAATAGAGTACTTGTTAAAACGCATTTTTCTCATCATTCTTCTCATCATTTTGAATTCAACTTCTATTAGTTCCTCATACATGATAGACTTTAGTAACAAAAAATAGTGAATAATGGATGTAATGATCCATAAATTTAAGATATCTCGACATGGTAATATAGAAAGAGAGTGATATCTCGTGACACAATCGATTCTCGATTTCATCTGCTCGTATATTTTTTGTCAGAAAAAAAAACAAGAAAAGTAGTGTCGTAGGCGGTGTGACAAATATTCGGCGTCCTTTGCATAACATTTTACGTCCATTATGATAAATGCGCTTGTTTTCGGTTGAATCGATATAGGATTTAATGTAAGATCTTGTAACGAGTAGTGTTAAAGTTCGTGGAAAATTTAATGCTTATAATAGTAATAGCAAGGGGAAACACATCATGAGGAAACACACGTGAACAACAAGGCTTATTAAACTTGTGTGAGTAGAGTTTGCTTTGTCAATACGATACGAATGCATTTGAGAGACTCCGCCGCGTGAATGTGCAATGCCCTTCGCATAAACTCACCTACTTTGTAGCTTGTTCACAAGTTCTATGTAAAATTTGATTATCTTCTAGTCGTGGAAATAATATTTTACAAAGTACTACTAGTTACTACTGATAGTACAACGAATAATAATTGGTAACGTATGTTAATAACTGTTTGCTGCGCACAAAATTCGCTTTATTCTCGTATGCGTGATCTTATTAACATAAAATAAAGTAGATAATGACTAAGGCGATGAACGGTAAGATATAAATGTAGCATGAAATTGATTGGTGATATTTCCCGAAGGAATGAGTTTGTTCTTTTTTTTTCGCTGAGTCACGTGTAATATTCCGTAATCGAATATACAAAATGTAATATTTGTATAATATTAAACTGATTCAATTATAAAACTAAATGTAATAACTAATATATTTTTCAACATGTATAAAATTATGTTAATATTATATTTTAAAATTATATATTACAAAAAGAAGAAAATAAAAGAGAAGAGAATAATGTATATTAAATTACGCGGTGATTCAAATTACAATTTTATTGCAAACTTTGAGAAAACTATTAAATTTCGCTATCATAATATATTTAATACGAGAATATTAATAATCTATGCTTGACATGATTTGTGAAATTTTGCGGAAACGCATTATCAACTGTTTAAATGCAATGAGTCGCTATTGATTGACTCACAATCAGTAGTACGAGCAAATATACAAAACTAGATAACTTGCCCTGCTGTCACGTATTATATTATATTTGTAATATAATTTTCTAATTATTAAATTATTTTAATTAAGCGATGATGATAAAGTGATTGACTTGATAAAGTGATTGAAGATGTTGATGCGTACATTTGTTTTTTTTTCTATTTTAATGAAACTAATTCATCGAAGTTTCAGTTATTAAGGTTAATTATGCTTAATTATATATATTATATATTTTTTCTCTGTCGATGTTTGAACATATTATCTTCAATGTGTATTTATGTCAGTGCAAACAATAACAACAGTTCGTGGACAGATTGATTGTCGACGCGTTCTTTATTACGGTTAACACCTACGCCACATACAACAAATAATAAAAAAATACTGCTGGGAAATACATAGTAGCTATCGTAAGAAATCCATTTACCAGGAAAGACACTTGGAGGATGGTGTAAGATTCATCAAAATACAATCCATCTATTTTCTTTTTGGATTTCTTTTCCAACTAATTTATGGCTGTCGTCATTTCCGTATTTTGTCTTCATCTGGAAGAGATTGATCGGCAGTAAATTGTGATGTTTTCGTTTTCGTTGTTTGAGATTGTTGATTATATTCCTTTTCGCTTCGTATAAATGTCATAATTTTGTGCGTCCCACGCATGATCAAAAATCTGAATTTTTTATGAATAGGTATGTAATAAAGTTTAATAAATACTGATATTAAATGCAATGTAGAAATACAAGTAATTTATGTTAATACTTTTAAAAAGAAACAAGAAAATGTAACATATTGCCAAGAATAATATTTTTTACTGAATGATATGTTTTTTATTTATATAGAATATATTTTCTTAATATTCATATTTTTATATAATCCATTATTTTCCAAACAAAAACAAAATTTAATAAAATATATATATATATATATATATATATATATATATATACTATCTAATATATATAT